AATACACACATACATACATACATACATATATATACACATACACTTGAAAAAACACTTACTAAGCAGAACACCCTTGGGAACAGGGAAGAAAAAAAAGTCCAAAAGAAAATTGGACGAGGAATCTATGTTAGTGCTCCATGTGAACAAAGGGTGCAGAAGTCTTTCAATAAATTAACTGAACACATAAAATGGTTTAGATCAATGAATATCTAAGTTAAAAGTGCAGACTCAAATAATTTTAAGAGCTTGCAGCAAAGCCCGACGGTTGCTTTTGTCTGCCACTGACCACTCAATGTGATTGATTAATTAGAGCCACTTTTTACGATAGGCATTTCAGCCTGTAGCTGGCAAAGCTGGCAGAAACCTCATCAAATGACAGCATTGATCACGTCATTAACATCTATTCCAAAACAAAACAAAACAATTAAAAAGCAAAAGTGATGCACCAACCGCTTTTTAATTCTACCTCACAATTAGGTTCAAGTTTTTGTTGGCCACAGAATCTCAAATAAAAAACAAAACCCATTGTTGTGATGTGGTAAAATGTGAACAAGATCTAAGGATTTTAAGTACTTTATCAAGGTCCTGTATGATTCCTTAAATCTGCAGCAGATGAAGTACTGGTGTGCCACGTCTGGAACAAACTTAGAGTGACTTGCTTCCTGTAGGCTTCTCAAGAAAAGGTGTGTGTATATGTGTGGATGACGACGGCTTGGAAAATTAGTGCAAAATAATAAGCAGTCATGAGATTCTGCTGAATTTTGTTCAGTGGGAAGCTTTAGAGAGGGATAGGGGCAGAACCTGGAAGGCTCGAAAGCAAAAGCAGAGAATGCACAGGGGCACGTATGTGTGGGTGTATATGTGTGTTTCTGCGCGTCTGTGGGACAGGGGAGAGACTGACACAGACGAATGTGAGAAAACGAAGGGAAATGAGTGGGAAGCGCGGGCGAGAGACGCAGTCTGGTGACACACTGCAACAAAATGCAGAGCATGAATGCCGTCCACTGTTAACCACATATCTAGCCTGCACAGCTGCGTTCCTGCCCACCCCCTCTCTGCCACGGCACTCGAACACACAAGCACACACACACACACACACACACTGCTAGGTCTTCGTCAGAGCTTCCCGGGAAAAGGGGAAAGCCCAGGCAAAACTGCAGGCAAGACAGCACAGCAAAGGTTCATATACTAGCCTTCATGAAATTATGATGAAAGAGAAAAAAATATATAAAACCAGAGACAATTTCTGTGTATCATCTGAAACCAGAAGAAATAATTGAAAAAAATATATATTGGTAGTAATTATCTACCTGATTAAAAGAACAGGGAATCAACTCATCATAGCAGGCTCAGCAGGTCTAAAGTGTGTTTTTATTCAAAATAACACCAAGGAGTGTCATGGTGTGTCACTGCGTCATTGTCTCATGTTTTTCAACAACTAAGGCTCAAATGTTTCCAGCATGGCCAAAGAGAAAAAATAAAATCTTTGCAGGAAGCGTTTCTTTGGCTGTAAAGCATAGCAAATGCTGGCAGGTATCTGTAAAAGGTGGGATAGCCGAGAACAAGGAACCGCTGAAGCATATGGTATGCAAATTACAATAAATAACGGGTAAAAATCTCTCAATCCTTTTTCTA